AATTTAGCGCTGGTCGTTAACGTGTTAATTCATATATCCCAAAAATCATCGAGATTGATTTTGAATTAAGCCGTGCAAATGGATATGTTACGACGCACTGCACCAAAAAGCAAAAATAAAATATCCACGGCATTTATGATATTCGTTACAGTAGGGTTTTTGACTTCAAATCATCGATTAGTTTGTCTGTGAGGGGATTTGGTAATATCAAGGACACTCTCAAAAGAAGTCTAGCCCATGTCATTTAGGTTTTTCTGGTCGCTAAATCTGAACTAGAGGTTACTAACTATGAGGGTTTTTGAAATTCAAAATAAATCTAGCATTCAAGTCCAAACAGGTGTTAGAAGGGATCTTGCGGTCGTTAAGTCTTAATCAGAGACTAGTTTGTCTTTAGGAAGCCATTTGTAGGTTGCTTTAAGACCCCTCAAAGGACAAATTCAAAGAAAGTCAAGGAACGATTCCGACTATCTGCCACAATATGGCAGTATATATTTTTCTCGATACTCCGTTTAGTCCCAATTGTGGCAGAGAGCGGAACCTTATTAAAAACCTATCTGAATCCATGGACGCCCGCAGGAATTTTTCTCAGAGAGGAGGGCCAATCATCTGCAAGAGATAACTTATTGTGAAAGTGTATTTGACAATAAAACTGTTCAAGAATAGGGGTAGCACAGCTTCCCAAAATCATGTTATATGTAAAATTTAATGTCTAGCCGGATTACCGCCCATATCTAAATGATACTAACATAAAAAAGTGAGAGTCGAAATAGCAATCCGTTGAACCCACAGTATGCACAAAAACAAAGACAACAGATTATACAGAACCTCTCGAATTTTGCCGTCCGTAAAAAAGTAGTGTCAAATGAATTCGAAATGTTTTAAAAAATAAGAACTGGAACGTGTCTATGAGGTACAGCAGATGGATGTTAATTTGCAGTGGACCACATTGTTAAATGACTATCAGGATATTTAACTATTGCTTTACATTGGAACTAATGAATAAAAACAAAAAGAAAAAACTTGGTTAAATATGACGATCCAAGAATTCATCAATATAAAAACCGATTAGACAAGCTTTCAACAGGTTAAATGATAGTTTTAAAGGACAATATAAACAGACTAATTGGACACTAAAAGCAAGTGTATGTGGACTATTTTTAAAGAAATAACAGGTAAAATTTCAGACTTATATGGTACAACAGATATTCAATCTCTGTCATCCCCGACTTTCTAAAGCAAGTAAATCATGTTAATGCCGTGGCTGACCTTAACTGCAAAATTAAAAAAAAACATCAGTCGTTTATTCTTGAAGAAGTGACACCTCAACAGCTATGTGAATTTTCAGCAAAAATGAAGAATAAGCGGAGCTGTGGCATCGATAAAATACCCACATTTATTGTTAAACTTGCAATATCGCCAATTGATAATGCTTCCGGCTATTTAATCAATAATTTATTTATTTTTATGGTATTTTGCTCCACCAGCTAAAAGTTGAACTAATCAAGCCCTTATTTAAAAAAACGAAATGGAGGGCTTTCAAAACTATTTGAGCTCTGTGTGTCTAGCCATTGTTGAATTTTTGCAAGAAATGTAATCTACTAAATGTAATACTGCACGGTTATGTTCCTGACAAATCCACACAAATCGCAGTATTTAACTTAAATTAGAGGAAGATGGAATAAGGGCCCACGCATTGCCGTGGTTCACATTATGCGTGACAAATGGCATCTAAAAGTCAAAATAACTAATAATATTTTTCAAGTCTTTGGGAAAACAGAACTAGAATTGCTCAGGGTAGTATTCTTGGCCCTTCACTATTCATTATATTTCTAAATGACCTGGAATACATTACAAGCTCTGATAATGAATGTGTGGCTTGTTACTCAGACGACACTAATTTACTGACAGGGGAAAGGACTGTTGATCTTGCAGTATCGGGAACAAACCTTTTTTCAAGAGCAAACACCTGGTTTTCAGATAACGGGTTACTACTTAATGAAACAAAAACCAATGTATTAATGTTCATAGTGTAACAAGAATGAATAGTACCGTTGGCACCATCTGTCGGGGATCGTGCCAGCGACTCACCTTCTAGATCGACGCGAAGTGACCTCGAATATTCTAGACTTCCGCTTTGTGGCTCACCGGACTCTTCTCTAATTAGCGATGCAGACTATATAGTTCGACGGCCGGCAGATGGAAGCAGAGTAGAGTAGAGCAGAGTGGAGTATAGTACAGTTAGTGGCGCACATAAGAATTAGCCAGACATAAATAGTGGTGTACATAAATGTTCTATCTAGTCAAGATAAATAAATTAGTGCGTTTCTTTTTGTGGAAACCACTGTTTTAATCCACACCTAAAAGAACCCAGAAAAACGCTACAATAGCAAGACAAAATAGAGTTGAAAAGCCTGCAACATTCAGCAGTAGAGAAATTCAATCGGTGTGTGATAAAATTTCTTGCTGTTCATTTAGATCAGGGTTTCCCAATCTTGTTTTGTTGAGGCTCCCCCGGACTATAAATTATATTTTCATGCCCCCCTTTACTTTTTCAATAAATCAAAAAAAAACGCAGGTTATATAGGTACAAAGTCTTTTATTTTAATTCTAATAAAGAAACTTTTAAAGTTTAAATAAACTAATAAATGTTTTTTATCGAAAAACTTGAATAAAATAAGAGTAGGTACTAATGAGACACTTGAGATTATTGCATGTTCTGTACCAGTTGGTTGATTCTAGGTTCTGTCTTTGCCAGAGCTATCATCAGGTCGCTATCGACATCAAGACGATTTTGCTGTTTAGTTTTAATTAAAACTAGTTCAGAATAGCCTGTCTCACATAAGTAAGTTGAAGAAAAAGGAACGAGTATTCGTAAAGCAAGAGAGGCAAGTGTCGAATTAACAGGTAATCTTTTGATCCAAAATAACTCCAAGGTTAAAAGATGGAAGTCATGTTCATGGACGAATAAGCCTTTATCTCTAGAAATTCTTCCTAAACTTCTTCTGGTAATTGTGACACATCGACCACAAATGGATTTCTTGTCATGTGCCATATTGGTGACTCTGAATTGATGTCTCGATAGTATCGGCGAAATTCGTCTTCCAGCGTTTGCAAATGGGTTTTTGGTCAGCTTTTGAATTTGCGTCCAGTATTATATTTTTAATTGCTTCGAGCAGCCGAGAAAAAGATATACGGCGTAATTTCTGTCACAATGTTTCGGAAGCCAAAGCTTGCCGATGAATGACACAATGTGTACTAACCATTGCGGGATTTTTTTCCTTGAGCTTTTTAGCTAAGCCCGATCGTACACCTATCATTGCAAGTGCGCCATCTGTGCAAACTCCAATGAGTTTCTTCCATCCAAATATTTTTTTTCAACAAAATTTGATATTGAATTAAACATATCTTCAGATGTAGAAAACCTGCTGTCAAAGATTGGGAGTACAAAATCTCTTGAATGATATCTCCGCCGATGTAACGAAGATAAACTATTAACCGTGCACAATTAACGATGTCTGTGGGTTCATCGCAACTAATGGCAAAAATAGCGATAATTTTACTTTGTTAATTATTTATTTGTGACTTTATGTCTGCTGCAATGTCATCGATTCTACGCTTGACTGTATTATTCCAAAGAGAGACAGACTTCATTTTTTGCTCTGCATCTTCTCCTAAAATTATCTGCGAGGCTTTTAGGACACATGGTTTTATTAATTCTTCACCGATAGTATGAGGTTTCTTTTGGTTTGCTATCATAAAAGCTATTTCAAATGAAGCTTTGAGATGCTGCGATACACCTGTGTGATAACTTCCTGATTTATCCAGTCTCATCCGGAGTACGATGTTGTTGCTTCAAATGCCTTTGAAGGCGATTGGGCCTCATGCTATTATTACTTAAAACTTTCATACATATCATACACTGAGGCAATTGTAACTCGTATTTTTCTATGAAGCTAAATCCAAACTTAACGTAATCTTCGGAAAACTTTCTTTTTTATTTTATCTTAATAACGTGATGTATATTGGCCACCGGGAGATTTATATTTTTGTATGCAGGTTGCCGTTATAATAGTAATTTTAAATACATTTGGAATCAATATTAGGTACTTAAGTTCGTCGTTTCAAAATTATTTCGCCACGTTAGTTTGATTGTGATGTGGTAAAAAAGTCCCAATGGCCGATCTATGAACGCGTCTCCACTCAATCAACAATTTAGTAAATTAAATAAAAATGGTAACTGAAGTTTGTAAATACACAAACTTACCTTTTAACAGTGAGACACAATAGTTTGACACACTCAAACAGATTTCTCAGCAGAACATGTTGTGACTTGTCGAAACTTTTATAAACTGCGATTGACGACGTCGGGTTTTGAAACAGCGGTTGACAGAATAAGTGAATATATTTAATTTCTAATTTTATGCGTGTAAATTAAACATTAAATTGTAATGTTATTTGTTTGTTTTTTCTTTCTAAAATGCAAACGCTTTCTACCCCCGTTGTTAGAAACTCCTGATTTAGATGAATTCTTCGACTGATCACTCCACATCTCTGACGTATGTCAAAGATTAAACTTCAAGTTTGACTGTCTACCATGGTGAAGCGAAGCTGTTTGCTCCCCGAAAGACAAGGCAATGAGATAGAATAAGTCATAGAAAGTGATAGTGGTTCTATTACATTTCGGTAATAGATATTCTTTTACACTGATAAATAATAGTCATTCCCTGATTCATTCTCACCGTCGACCATTGGTCTTATCTCTAAAACGAAGCTAACTTTAAGATTATTTTAGTGGCATGATTAACCTAGGAACGTGTTATTTTTCAGAAAATAGAAGTGTTTCAAAACCCCATTGGATACACCTCAAAACAGACGTCATAAAGGTAATAGCTACTGGTTATGCTACTGCCTCGTTTTCAAGAAATGACTTCCAGGAAAAATAGGTAAATCAAGTCACATGAAAACTTATGGACGGTTAATTAAAGATAAAATTGTAACAATCAAAACTTTATTTATAACAAATTTCACAGCATTAGTCAGTTTTAAAAAAATTCCTCGAAACTACATATCTAACGCACTGCAGCAGGACATTTCTCTCGTGTCGTATTTCACTCTGCAGCAGTTTCTCTAACAATGTTACTTTCCTTTTTGTAAACGCGTAGGGAAATTCGGATCGTTTTGCTGTATCAGGAACTAAAGACTTTCGGTTAACTTGTTTTGTATTTTTGTGTTTTGCATGCGCCCTTTTCCTTTTCCGCACATTTTTTGTTACTGTGACGTTCGCTTTGGTGCTAGTCGACTGGCATGGAATAGCATCACGTAAATCTGCTCTTTGAACCTTCACCTCGTCAGGAGGCTCGTCATCTGACTGATTTGCTTGATATGTTGTTGTTTCCATATCAATCTTAGATTCTATTTTTACTGTATCAATCTTAGTTTCTACTACCGTCACCCGTACAACTTTATTATTTGCTATTCCCATTTTAGGCGCCTCCTCATCTGACCCTGAATCACTCGCATATGCTCCCATTAAACCGCTCAGGGCATTGTTAAGCTTCAACACGGTACCACCAGAAGGTATTTGGTTCCATTCGTCGTCTTCATACTCGGATTTTTCACACTCTGGTTCTTCTTCTAGCGCAGAAGTGCCTCTAAATGGGAACATGTTTCCATTCCAATTACATTTTTCATTGATGAGGGAAACTTTTTTGTCAGGTTGGATCTTCCTTTTTTTATGCACTTGTTTAGTTCTTGGGACGTTCCTCCCACAATTTTTCTTTTGTACTGCAATATAAAATATTTTGTTAATTAATGCATAACCTGCATGTATTTGTCATAAGAGGTCTCGCGGAAGCTGAGATTTTACTATATCAGTGTAATGTAATACTACCAAGATTGAATTTGAGATATGCTTAAAAAATATTGTTATGTTGGTATTATCTTTATACAGGGTGGCCCAACGAAAAGGTCGCACCCCCATTTGTGACTCTCCTGGTATATTTTGGAAAAAACGCTCGGACACGTCAATGTTGGGAACGTCATTTCATCTATAGCCGTACATTACAGGATGTTCAAAAAATAAGATATTGCATTACACTTCAATGGAAACCCCCATTTTTTCAATTTTTAGATCTTCCATGAAGCTTTTGGTAACTTTTGTATAATAAAGTTTATATGTATCTTCAATCGTTGCGAAGTTATTCGAGTTTATAATAAAATTCTAGAAATTGTGATAATAAGGGATGATATCGTAAAAATAATAATCAATAGAGTTCCCTTAGTAACAAGACTTTACTTTAAAATTAAAAACAAGTCTCCGACTATTAAAAAAACAAAAAGCAACTTACAGGTTACACGCACATTAAAGTTGAAGTATCGACAATTATGTCTATATACAGCACCATGTAAATAGAATCTACACTCATCAGAGAAACAAATATTACTGTTGGACCAGCGAAAGATTGCAAGCCGAAAGAATGCGGACAAAAAATTGCGAAGTTGTCAGATGTTCTACATAAAATGCGGTCCATACATATTAACATATTTAAGATATAGAATTGTTCCGCTGAATTTGGCAATGTAGCTGGAAAACCCAGGCCGCAGGTAAACATCCGGTCGCTGATTGGTCCAAAACTCTTATCTTATCTGAAACTAGAATAACGTGCCGATGGCACGGTCATTTATAAACCTACTCCCATAGGCGTAGGCAGTTGGCAAATACTTTGAAAATATAATTTACTGTTTAGTGGTGATAATGGAATTCAAGCATGGGAAAGTTATTCACAGCCAGGCAAGGGAAATAATAGCAAACGTGATACGTGCTTGCGATGCAGAAGCGGCTAACAATACTTTCGTTTATCCACTGGTAGCTAGAAATGCAAGGGCGGCATATTATACGGGTGTTAGTGAACGAACTATAAGTAAAATTAGAAAAGAAGATAAAGACAGGCAAAATGCAACCTCCACACAGCCTTTAGCTTCTCCCGGAAAAAAGAGATCACGCCCTTCTGTGATCCAAAAAATTGATGGAGTCGATTTTTCCATTATTCGGAGAATGATAGAAAAATTTTACTGTGATTTTAAAGTGGTACCTACTTGTAGTAAACTTCTAATCAAACTGAAGGAAGAAATGGAATTTCCATTTGGTAAAGAATCGTTGAGGCTGCTTTTAAAAGCAAAAGGATTTTACTGGCGTAAATGCCACAACAAAAGGAAATTACTAATGGAAAGACCCAGTATTTTACATTGGCGATACAAGTATCTTAGGTCTATTAAAAAGTTCCGGGAAGAAGGAAGGCATATTATTTATTTGGACGAAACTTGGGTTGATAGTGACCTCACTTTCAAGAAATGCTGGCAAAGCGAAGAAATTATGGGTGTCCTGAGCAATATAAGTTCTACAGGTAATAAAGTTTCTTTCACCTCGATTTTGCTTATTATACATTTTTCTCAATTTTGGAATATTCTTAATAAGTGCTCATTTAATTTGTCTAATTGAATACATAATCCCTTGCAAGTATTTTTTTCTCAAAAATATGTTTTTTATACATAGTGATTCAAAAAGGTGTTGGCAAACTTAAAATAACACTAAAATGAGGCTATTTATTCATTTCCAGGACGACTTATAATTGTTCATGCGGGTTCGCAAGATGGTTTTGTTCCTGGAGCCTGTCTCATTTTCAAGGCTGGCTGTGCCACTGGTGATTATCACGGTCAAATGAACCAAGAAAATTTCACGAAGTGGCTTACTGAAAAACTATTTCCTAACATTCCTCCTAATAGTATTATAATAATGGATAATGCACCTTACCATTCAGCTTTGGAAGACAAGCCTCCAACTAGATCTTCTCTAAAAAGAGACATCATCACGTGGTTGAGCAAAAAAGGTATAGAGCATGATCCTAATGCTAAAAAAATGGAGCTTTATGAAATAGCTTGTCTACATAGGCCACCATCTGATGAGAAAAATTATAAGATAGATAATTTAATAAGAAGTTTCGGACACACCCCACTTCGAACGCCACCCTATATGTGTCAGTTTAATCCCATAGAGATGATTTGGGCACAAGTAAAATTTTTCATTAGAAGCCATAATACAAGCGGCGAATTTACTATAAAAAAACTAGATGAAATTTCTAATAAGGCCATCGCTTCAGTAAGTGCCAGTGACTGGCAAAAGGTTATTGGACATGTTATAAAAATTGAAGATGAATATTGGGAAAAAGACAGTCTCATTCAAGAAATACAGGAAGAAATAATAATCAACATAGGAGGTGAAAGTGATAGCAATGACAGTTCCTCAGACAGTGATCATGACTCTAATCAGGATTGAAACTATACTAGATTGGCTACCTTTTAGAATTTTTAGATATTCATTTATTATACTATTGGTTTGTGGCTTTTAGTATCTCAGTAGAAAGTCTAATTCTATGTGTTGTTTATGGGTTATTTCATCAAGAAATTACTTTTTGTTTTCCTATATTTTTCTATTCAGTCAGATATTTTTGACTTGTTGTATTCTATTTTAGAAGAATGCATAATTTGTTTTGCTGTTCAATCATAATGCGTACATAGGAATATTACTTGTTGCCTAAAAAATATATTTATTTTGTTCTCAATATTCAGTGTTTGTGTATATTTATTTCTTATAATGTATGTTTGGTATCACGTCATTATGAATCGCAAAAAAATATTAATACTACCAGTTGTAATAAAATATAAATTCAATTAATAATTCAAGTCTCTCCGATCTCCGCCTATGACTCCATATAAAATCGTCTAATGGTAAGGTTTTTTCATCGCATTTCCCCCTTTCGTCCCTAGCAATCTTTGGCTGGTCGATCAGTAAATAACAGATTTGTATTGTTGATTAAACGTTGGGACATTATTCTCAAAACTCCAGCCTTCTATCAAAATCGTCTTCATTAAGCTCATGGACGACTTTTATCTTGTACGGGTGAAATGTATTTCATTTCATCTACTTATAGCCGTACATTACAGGGTGTTCCAAAAATAAGATATTGCGTTACATTTTAGATTTTCAAATGGAAACCCACATTTTTTTTCAATTTTCAGATGAAGCAATGAAGTGACATATAAATCCGAACACCTAGTTTAAATGGTTTTATTTTAATAAAATTTTGTATAAGTACTTAATGAAGCATAATAAGTAAATGATAAAAATTTCAAAATGATTGCACTGCTTTAAAGCCCTTTGACCTTTAATAATGTGTGGATGCACCCTGATGTGCTACGCATTCTCCAACGCGCCTAGGCATGCTTCTGATCAGGTGGTCAATGTCCTCCTGTGGTATCTCATTCCAGGCAACCACCAACTCCTCTCGAAGTGCTTCTAGAGTCTGAGGAGGACGTTGCAAATTGAGCAATCTCCTACCCATCATATCCCACACGTGCTCAATTGGGGATAAGTCGGGAGATCTTGGTGGCCATGGTAACAATGTGACATCATTATGTTGAAAGAAGTCTATTGTGACTCTTGCAACATGTGGTCGGGCATTATCTTGTAGGAAAGTTGGATCTGCCAGGGTGTCAAGATAGGGTAAAAGATGGGGTTCTAGAACTTCGTGGATATAACGCTGCGCGTTTATGTTACCTCTGATGAAGATTAAAGGTGACCTGGAACCATAAGCTATAGCACCCCAAACCATAACTCCAACAGTGTGATGAACATGTCTTTCAACAAAAAACTGTGGATTCCTCCTTTCACCACGTCGCCTTCTAACCCTGGCACGACCATCGTGCATGCCTAAACAAAATCGAGACTCGTCACTAAAGACAATACTGTTCCATTCCTGATCCCAGAGTGACCGTTGTCTGCACCACTCAAGGCGATTACGTCGGTGTTCTCGAGTTAAAGGGAGGACCCAGTGTGGCCGGTATGAAAACAAGCCAAAACTTCTCATTCGTCGGTAAACACTTCGCATGCCAATAGGTCTTCCGTGTTCTGCAAACCATTCATTTGCAATGGACCTGGTAGTGGAGAAACGGTCCCTTAAGGCCAATAATCTTAGGCGGCGATCTTCAGGGTCTGTTGTTCTACGGCGGCGTCCAGTGCCCCTTGCTCTTTGCGTACGGCCTTCTCGAAGCCATGCCTGACAACACCTAACCACAGTGTCTACACTTCTTTGCACTCTAACTGCAATTGCCCGAAAAGAAAGTCCAACTTCCCGAAGTCCCACTATACGGCCCCTATCAAACTCACTAAGTTGACGAAATCGTACAGGTCTCCGTACTCTAGGCATCGTAACCGATCGTAAAGGATGTCAAGAACCAAAATCCGCCAACGTTGATTCTTTACTGCGGCTGAAATATTCATTTTTAAAGCGTTAGTGAATTAAAAAAAAAGCAGTATAAAAACCGGAATGTCCAACTGATAAGGCTGAAAATTTTTTCACTTGTTATTTACAGTAAGATAAATACATTCACCAACTTTTATTAAAATAAAACCATTTAAACTGGGTGTTCGGATTTATATGTCACTTAGTATAGTAGTTTTGGGATACGTAGCGCTTGACAACACCCATTTCAAATTATTAAGTTACCTACCTAGTTGTGATAAATATTGAACAATCACTTATTCAATTCGAGAAACGATAGAAATAACAAAACTGTATTACCAAAATGGGAGCATCGCAAGAGCTACTGCCCAGTTGTTTTATGCATTACGTCCAGACAATAATATTAACGATAAGTACGCGGCTAAGTTGATAACAAATTTGAAGAAACTGGATCTGTGTCTAATTTTCGCCGTAATCGCCATCGATAAAATCGACCAGTTAAAAATGAATCCGCAGAAATAACAGTTTTGGGACACTTGACAACACACAAAGCACTCGTGGACTGGCTACTTCTTCAGGATTTACACGTTCAACAGTACAAAGAATTTTTACAGACAATACATTTCACCAGTACAAGATAAAAGTCGTCCATGAGCTTAATGAAGACGCTTTTGATAGAAGGCTGGAGTTTTGCGAATAATGTCCCAACGTTTAATCAATACAAATCTGTTATTTAATATTTGTTTCTCCGATCAGTATACATTCTATTTACATGGTGCTGTAAATAGACATAATTGTCGATATTAAATCGGACGTGTCCGAGCGTTTTTCCCAAAATATACCGGGAGAGTCACGAATGGGGGTGCGACCTTTTCGTTGGGCTACCCTGTATAGATCTTTTCACTGATTCTGATGACTCTCAGAAAACTACCGGTACCGTTACATATCACGATCTCCCTCACACATTATTCAAGTTACCTCTCCATGTGAAAGTTTATTCGTGTACCCTCGTAGGCATACGTTTTTTATGTACTTTGAAAAATGTCAGCGTGATGACCGAAACTTCAATCAAATATACGTGGTTTCATTAAGGGGTCAGACAAGGCGTCCTATAATTGTACGAACGACTGATGATATAGCCCTTATTCGCCAAAATCTGTGAAAATACCTATAGTATCCCAAGTAGATCCAAAAAAAGGCATCAAGGCAAAGGTGTCTAGCTGCCGAATAATGCTCTCGAAATCGGCTGTGGGTTTTTTAGACGTATACCCTATTTCACGAGTATCCATCACGGTAAAATGACAGCTGATTATCTAGTAATACCTAAAAATTCCCCATATCGGAACAGGACACTTAATTTTTACGCATCCATCAACGTCAGGTAGTCAAAGCGGTATTTTGTTTTGTTTTTTGAACGCTACAGATTCATTTTGTACTTGCTAACAGCTGTTTTATTTAGAAAAGTTCATCTGCATACAAAAAACAGAACGCTACAAACAAGTTTTACTAGATTTACACCCGATTCATTATTGCCAACGTCGCAGACTAACACAAGAATATCAGTAGCTGATCAGATGTTCACCTCAGTAGACGTCCAAGCGTGATGGATACTCCTGAAATACGGTATAGAGTACTTAAGGTTAGAAAAATTTTAATATCAAACTTAAATACCTTCTGCTCAGAATCCGCCTGGACTTCAAACCTTTTTTGATTACATTTAGTGGAGCACATATTTAAAAAACAAATAACAGTATTATTCTCCTAAATAACGCCCAGAAAATAAGGTAAATAGCAGATTCTGAATCAACTTGTTACTATGTACCTCGTAGCCAAATTCGGCAGCTAGGTTTTGGGTATACTCAATCCTGTGTAATAAGTCGAAATCCACAAACGTATTCGACAACTAGGAAATCTCGCTTTGCGATTGGCAAGTACTGTGTATTAAATTTGTGTCTTTGCTCAGCTAAAATAGCGCACAGACTGAATAATTGCCCTAGGGAAACATTTTGCCACTATGGAGACTGCTAGCTATATGTTATTCGCTTAGTGTGCGTGTGATGACAGTGCCGCCTAGTGACCATTATTCAGGACTCAAAACCTAGATGTTTTTATAACAATATTCGGCTTGTTTTTTACTGAAATTAAATAAAACTAAATGAAAAAGGTAAAAGTAATTTGCGTACTTGTACAAAATGCATGTGATAATATGTTCGAGATTTGAATCTGTAAAACATGATTTAAATTTGAGTATAGCAATTTGACACATCACAATACATGTCAATTCCCAGTTATTTCACATCTCTGCCACCTTGTACACTGTGATCAGTTTGATGATCTCTCCCACTTCGCGCATAGCGAATAATTACTGGAGAGGGTACTACATTTTTTTTTGTACTATGACTACTTACACCTATATTTGTCTTTGCCAAATCTGTTATTATTAGGAGTGATCCTCTCTCCCCTTTTTGACCGTTCTTCAATTTCTTGTTGTCTTTTTACAACATTTTCTTTGCTAGGATACTTCATCTTCCTTTCCTGTATCCACTTGGCGATATCTTCTGGAGTATTTACATTCCTAATTTTATCATAAAGGCCAGTGGCATGCTGCATTCGAACATGTTTTTCGATTACCTGTAACACAAAACCAATTATCAAACTCGTGAACCAATTACACCCTACTGAGCGTGGCCGCACGATCCACATACACTGAAGGTAGGATATTGCGCATGTGGGCGGAGCTTCGTGACGTCACCCGGAGAGTTATCGGCTCGTGGTTATCAGCGGCCGGATTGTCGTAACGTTACTGCAGTTCACGTGTATCGTGATTAATACTATATAGTGCGATTTGTTGGTGGTTTTGTGACTTGTTGTATTAGTTATACGTACCTTATATACCCTGTGTGGTTGACAAATTGATAAAAATGCGGTGTGCTGTTGTGGGATCTAATTCCGACAATCAATCTAAACGAAATCTTTGCAAAGACATGAAGTTCCACAGTTTTTCTCAAAACCAAAACTTTAGCAAACACATGGCTACATCTCACAAAAAGATAAGACAAAGAATGTAAAATGCGCTAGGGTTTGTTAGAAAATGCTCTAGAGGATCTGAAACGACGCTTCAGCGTCCAAAGCTGTTAACAAGACGTCTTAATCAAGATGTGATAGAAAACTTTTTCGGAGTAATTAGGGCAAAAGATGGTCTTCATGGCCATACAAGTCCTCTAGAGTTTAAGTACAGAATAAGGTCATATATGTTGGGGCGAAACGAAGGCGCATACTCAGAGTACCTATTACAGCGTAGAGTCAGATGATACTCCAGACATTCCAGTAACCACTAACCGCATCATTAACGAGAATAAACTGAATGCACCCGAAGTATGTGCTGACTATACCGAGCAAGTTTTAGTGAAAGAAATAGATGAGCTCGAGTATGATGGGCTGGAAAATTTGGCCGGCTTTGTTTGCAATAAATTGCAGGATAAGAGGTTGAAAAGTTCCTCAATTGAAACTTATTCATGGATAGACCATCTTAGTGAGGGTGGATTATCAAAACCTTCCGCAACTTTCATGAATCAAATTGAGAAGCTGAACAAGGTATTCACTACATGCAATGGGGACGGAATAGTGACAAAAAAAGCAAAATTTTATAGTGAACTTCTGTTGAAGAGCAGCAACATTGACTGCCCTGAAAAAGCTAAAAAACTGTTTTTCAGGTCAAGGATGTTCTTCCGCATCAAAGAACTGAATAAAGGTTTGAAAGACCAGAAAAATCGTAAAAGGAAATGGAAAAAAATTGTTGCTTAAACGAAGTCATTTCTATTTATTGTTATACCACCACCTTACTGCAAAAAGAAGATAACTCCATTTTTCTACTTTTCGAGTTGCGGATATTTTCACACTTACACGTACTTAGGATGTTCTGTGGAATAAGGATAAATGCGGTACAGTATTATGGCATGAACATGTTAATCGTGCTCCACAGAACATACTAAAGTATGAGTAATGTAGAAAAATGGAGTTATCTTGTTTTTACAGTGAAGAGACGATACGCTTTATTGTGGAGCTAGAAGCCGTTTAAGCTATAGCCTGTGAAATAGGAATTACAGGGTTGAAATCTTTTATTAAAATCCGCCGTTTTGTTTTGTATAAAATTTTAATGAAGCTAGTGTCACTCGCACCGCCAATACGAATCCAACGACACCTCATATGTGAGAATCTATCAAGCCGTTTGATGTGTAGCCTATCAAGTAGGAATTACAAGGTTAAAATCTTTTATGAAAATCCACCATTTTTTTTAAATTTCAATGTAGCTAGTGTCACTCGCACCACTAAGACGAATCCAACGACACCTCATATGTGAAAATCCGTCCAGCCGTTTGGCCTGTAGGTGAAAATATGCACGTTATCCATATCAACCCGAATGATAATCACTCTCGGCGTGACGTCATGCGCGCCGGCGGACGAAAATCGAACAGCGGAGCATACGGCCCTGGCGTGGCCGTGGCAAATGCTTGTTCCGGAAGTTGTATACAACTTCTTTCTGTTCAAGTGATTGTACGCGCGTTAAGTAATACCTCAGTACCATTTGCTGGGTACAGGTCCGCATACGGGCCACTCTTAGGTCTATTTAACATCAGCTTTTTCCAGGGTGTCTTATGAATGTCCGCATTCTTCCACACCTAAGCTACGCTCTCAGTTATCTTCTCCAACAAAGAAATTAATGATGATGAATCCCGCGACTACTAAGAATTCCGGACGTAAACTCACTCCATTCTCGGAATGTCCGGGTAGAGAGTGGACTCAAGGGAACAACATCGATGATAAAATTTGTTTCACGAACATCTGCGGAATTAACAGCAACATTGATTATGTTCATCACTACCTGCAATCTAATCGTCCTGCCATGATTTCCTTGGCGGAGACAAAAATCTCAGATTCTGCACCGATTAGCCAACTTAGCTTCCCAAAATACGAGGTACACTCCAATCCGAGAAAGAACGGGGAAGTTGTGGCTTTTTGGAATCAGACCGGAGGGACATTGTGTGGCTTCGCCTGAACTCCAAAACATCCCCGAAATTTATTTGCTGCCTTTATCGATATCCCTAGGACCATAAATGGGATGAGCTACTTGAATACCTCGCTGTCAAGACAGACTTCAATATCCATAATGAGCTCTGGTTGGGCTCAAACAAGACCGATGCAGCAGGTCGTGCAGTTAGAGCATTCGCTATTACCAAAAGACTGTCTCAGCTGGTGACGAGCCCTACTTTTTCCCCCGTTTCGTCATACGCCAGTAGTCTGCTGGATCTCTTTCTGACCACGCATCCTGCCCCTTACAGCACTGCTGTTCTGTCTCCCCTGGGTAACACACAGAATCAGGCATACAAGTTAGGCACAGGGTAATGTCGCTGCGCAATGGCAGTCCGTCTCTCTGCAAGCTGGCTAAGCAGATCGAAAGCAACCTCACAGAGTAGCCCTCCACCATTTACGAGTCAAAATGGAACGATTGTAACCGACTCAAAAGCTAAGGCGAAAGCGCTTGCCAAGATCTTTGCAGCCAACAACATCACCTCCTCACACTATAGAAGACCCAGACAAGACTTTGTCTCGAGTATTGCTCACACGTTTGGGGTGCTGCCGCCCCGACTACATTATCAATGCTCGATGCCGTCCAGAGGAGGGCTGTCCGACTGATCGATTACTCATCTCTTACAGACAGTACCGAGACCCTTTCGCACCGGTGGGCCGTTGGCGATTTAGCTCTCTTCTACCGCTACATCAACAATCTTTACTCCTTAGAACTCTCTTCCATGATGGTGCCGCGCGATGTGCCTGCCAGACCCTCCTGCCTTCAGCCTCCTATCCTAACCGTGTTGAACTTCGTACATCCAGAACTGGTAGATACTACCTCTACTTTGTACCTGGGATGTCGAGATAGTTGAACAATCTACAAAAGGAGGCTTTTCCCAGTTCTACTAGCCTTAGGCAGTTCAAAAATCGGATTAACAAAGTTAAGAAACGTCAGCAGACAAACATGAAGCATTACATGCATGTCATTCGATAGCGAATCCAAAGACCCACCGTTTTTTTTGCTCTCCTAAAAAGTTGTTAGTTTTAAGTTAGGCGGTGTTAGAACTCAAGCGAAAATACCTTCTATTTATTGAACAGCTGTGGTCTTGGTGTAATTATCGGATAAAACCCACTCAATTTTTATATGATTCATTCCACATCAATGAGCAATGGAAAAAATTTCCAGAGTATTTGAGTTTTATATTTTTATGGCGTTTCATGATATACCCAAAAAGTATGGATTCCTTGTTCCAACATCGGTTGTAGATTGTTTATGTTGCGAGAAAAATAGATGTGTTCCATTTTATTTATTTTATTTTATACCCTTTAGTCATAGTACATTATTCATGTTCACTAAAACATAAATACGACCTTTTGAAAAACGAAGATTGTTTTCATCTACACTGAAAAAGCTTTTAGAATGTAAGCATAACGTTTGGATATTCTGATTTCTTATCTAGTTACTAACATTAGCGTCCTTACACCCATTTACAAACTTGTGACCGCATAATAATCCATTCCAAGCTTTGTTAGTTTCCGTATAGCGGTTAATTAGATTGCAGTTTGTCAAGGAAACCAGAACGACAGGTGGGTTATCGTTAATGAGTGGAACGCTAAAGCACCTATTTTTCAAGCCGCAATATTTCCCGAAAATGCTGTTTGTCATATATCGTTTAGAAAGTAAAAATAATAGTCTGAATCACCCTGTATATACACTATTACTACGCGCACAGACCCGACGCCTCTGCTCACATGTTGGTAGCCGCAATATGAACTGCTTAACTTAGATGTTGGGTACACTGGCGTATTGAGGAGGGGGCTTTGGGGCTCTCGGACTCCCCCTCTCATAACGCCACGGCTCGGTATGTTTCTCCTTGCATAATACAGCATTCGATACTTTTTGTGAAATGTAACCCCCCTGGCCAAATTGAGATGCATCACCGCCCTCCTCTCGGACTCCCCCTTCCAAAATGGTAGGGCTTAGATGTTTCTCCTTACTTATTACAACATGCCGTACCTTTTGCGAAATTTATCACCCTCCGCCCCTGGGCGAATCAATATTCACCACCGCCCCCCTCCCCTCTGCTCTGAAATTTTCAATCGCCAGATAATCTCCGCAGAATTATTTATGGGTACGCCAGACATTGAGAAGTCTCTCAAATAAACTATTACCATGTCAAAATCACAGTACGACAGTATTTTAGAATATACTATACTAATTATTTAGGCTAGAGCCGGAAGGGCGGATCTTCAAATGCCTTTAAACCCTAGTGACTTTCAAAACGCAAAACCAATTGTGAACACCTACACCCTTCTTTGGGACTAGATTAGTCCTATCCCAATCAGTAAAATATCTGGAAATTATCCTGGATTGCAAATTGAACTGGAGAGAGCATGTTGAATACAAGATTAACAAGGCGCAATTCAATGCGGGCCTGTAGACGTGTTGTCGGTGTAAGGAGGGGGCTCAGACTAAAAATATAAATAGACAAATAATTCCCTACAAAATATCGTCGTCAACATAACTGTATTTACGGTAAACAAATATATGCGACGCTGCCACTTCTCCAGACTGAAAAATCTATTGAAAATGGAATGAGATATTGGTGTGCACTCCGCCCGAAATGAAGGTGGACTTAAATAAGGTGTGGGCGCTCCGGTCGATCAAACAACTGCTCCTAGGCAGTTGTCAACGTCATTTTAAATTTTAAAAATTTATTTTTCCTTTTCGTGTTTGTGTATACTCGCAAAAACGGTCACAGAGGTGGCCGACACGCCATAAATTCAATTCAAAACGGATGCAGGTTCATGTTGGGTAATTCATAGCAAACATTACATATAATATTTTGCCCAGTCTGTTGTTTGACTGGATTTGTTCCACCTTGGACGAAACTTGCTCTCATTCGAAAGTAGCACATTTCTACCGACTTTTTGCCGAACGTGGCAACGGTGTTCAACGGCAAGTGGTGGATGCGTACACAGAATTTATAAACATCTGGTGTTTGTTGTTGTGCACAGTGAATTTGTTGCGAGTATTCAAAAATGTTTTCAGGTTGTTTTAGCGGCAATTATAGCATTGTTATCGTTGATAGACAATTTTCAAAGACAATGGGACGTCGGAAGTGCATTCTTTGTGGAGTTAGCAGTGAAAAAACTGAGGCAACCTTCCACAGGTGAGTTAGAGGTTAGAGGAGGACAAGGGCGTAGCGCATGGGGATGCGTTGTGATTTTTAGTATTAAGAAATAGACATTTTATAGTTATTGGTTGTTTTTACACTGTATGTGTAGTGATTTTCAAAAAATACTCTTCTGTTAGACACGTTTTTGATCTTTCAGGTTTCCTAGTGATAAGAAAAAACAAGAAGAATCTCCAATGGGTGAATGAAAAGATGAAAGTTAAACTTGGCGTCCAGACTTTGAGCAAGAGTGTTGCAGAAGCATTGGACTTTTTGAACAAAGATCTGGCTATGGCTGACTTCAAGGATTCAGAAGCTACAGCATATTTTTGTAGAACAGTAAACAATTTATTTGATGTTTTTAATTCAAGGAATAGGATGTCAAAAAAACCTTATGAGAAACCGTTGTCACCTGCTACTGAACAATATTTCAATTTCTTAGAAGAAGCGAAGGATTATTTGAAATCGTTAAAATTAGGAGACACTAGAGTTATACTTTCTAGAAGAAAATTAGGATTTTTGGGATTCATAATTTCAATAAACAGCCTATATGAATATAGAGTCAAAGAAACCAAAGAGCTGAAGTACCTTCTCACATATAAGTTATCTCAAGATCATTTGGAAATTTTCTTCAGTTGTATAAGAAGCAAAGGAGGATACAGCAATAGTCCTACCTCGAAGCAGTTTCAGAATATTTAAAAAAAATTATTACTTCATACTGAAATAAGTGGCAATGAAGCATCCAATGTCGTGGCATTGTCCATTTTGCACTGTTCATCATCATCTTTAGAGATCAAAATTAGTGAGGATATGACCTCATCATCAAACAGTATAGAGGAAGATGAAGATTTTATACAATTTAAAAACTTTCTTCGAATAAGTCCTTGGTAGCTTAAACTGTATTTGGAAGATGTTGTTGCATATGTTGCAGGTTTTGTTGTGAAGAGGCTAAAAAAGTCTATAAAATGCCAGAGTTGTTTAGATTTGTTAGAAACTTCAGGGGAGTCTATATCGAAATTACAAATAAGAAAAACGTATGGAAAATTAGTTAAAGCCTCCGCTTTTGTAATAAATGTGTGTAAATATGAAGAACATTGCTTTAGGTTATATAAGGAAAGGTTAGAAGTTGGCAAAAAATATGACAAGAGCTTCACAAATATTACCAAATTATACATTGCAAAATTTACCTCTTGGATTCGGAAATGTGTTTAAGGACCATGTATTCGAAGATGAACCTTTAAGTAATCATTTTCCATTGCTCTGTAAACAAGTTTTAGAACAATATTTTACCATTAAGTTGTACCATTATACCTCTAACTTGAATGCCCCTTCAAAACGTGTACGATCATTACTCACAAAAAGTATATTATTTCAAAATCAATAAAACCTGATAATTACAAAAAAATAAAAAGCAAAATTATAAAATGAATTATAAATAATGACTTAGGGAGAGTGACAAGTCCAAAGGAATTGTTTTACTGAAATATGCACTAAATCTCCAAACATGGATTGACTACTATAAAATAATGTATAAACCTACCCCCAATGTTGACTTTAGCTTTTTAGATGTTTTACATCCATGTCTGGATCAGCATATATCAATACAAGAAGTTTTTGACGCGCTAAATGGCTAAAATGGCTATCAGAGTCTACAGAGTACACTAAATCCCCAAGTATACCGTTATGTATAAAACGATTTATAATCCAACTTAAGCTCCACAATAAATAGTCTCAAAATCTTCCTAAACAATATTTCATACAGGGTTGACCAAACAATATGTAATACTCGAAAGACCGAATCTTTAGGACATCTCCTCCTGGAATGTCCATTATACAATCCATTGAGAGATCATATTCTGTCAGATCGTTTGAACCAAATCTGTGTCTTTGCTTGCCTAAATAAAACGAATGAGTTGAATTTATGATACAAACTTTTTAAATACTTTAGGGAATTATTTAAGCTAAGATCTTTCTTAAGGAATGAATAGTTTTTTTGTGCCTACAATATCAAGACAGAATATTTAAATTGATGCGTCAATTATTTATTCTTTTTCTGTTTGTTTATATATTTTTTTATATACAACTTTTGATCATGGTTACTATTTTTTTTGTATTCATACTCTGGACAGGAAAGTTTCTACTCAATTCTTATTATTTACATAATACTCTCTCTCTTGTTTATATACCTTTGTACTAGGTATTATGAAACAATAAACCTGATAATTAAGTTCCAATAATAAAACCTTGTTTACTTCTCTGTGTTTATTCTTTTCACTGCCATGGAAGGTGATACTGGGTGTATTAACCAGAACACCATTACAAAAAAAGCACCTACGCCACTGGTGGAATCAGCTGTGGGCTGCACATACACAGCTTATTGTTTGTATTTGTTTTGCATTGGGTTTGTTTGTCTTCATGCATTACAGTGCCGTAAGAATGGTAAGTCTATTTATATTTTTAGTCTGAGGGTGGGGGCTTAAACTCAAAGTGGTATACTGGCTCTACACGACCATAGTACGTCCATCTCTCTTGTATGGCTCCCTGGTCTGGTGGCCTTGCATTAGAACTGAGACAACTAAAAGGCCAAACTCAATCAAACTCAGCGTTTGGCCTGTATTAGCATTACAAGCTCTGTTAAATCTCCCACTCTCGCTCATCGACTGTGGAGTCATGGCAGCTGGGCCTTCTTGAATCCTGTCAAGGGGCATACTGCCATCTTAGTCGAATTGCAAAGGGAGGTCCCCGTCCTTCTAAGCAGGGGTCATTCATTCATTCAACACCTAATCGTCTAAAGACAGTGGCACATCTACAAATCACTTTTATGAGCACGTTTCAAATTACCGTCATCGGCTAAACTAGGCAGGCCTGGACGATTAAATTCAACAAACAGTGACCGAAGTATCTGTTTATATTGACCTTGGGAGGATTCCTCGAAGTAGCAAAAGTTTTATATACTTTAATTTCCACTTAAAGTGGCTGAACCTATGTCCGCAAAGCAAGAAGCATGTACGAGTAGACCTACATGCAGTTCTGTGTAGGCGCAGAAAATGTTTAAGCTAGATATGTTGAAATATTTTACAGTTAATGAAATTAGTAGGAAGAAGGATAAGTACCCAGCGTTAATTTCGTAATCAAAACGTGTTTCTTACATTTTAGATGAGACTGTTCGCTGTTCATACGTAACTATGTTTACCAAAGCACCTAATCTCGTGTTTATCTTACTTTCCTCAATATCTATTATAACAGCGAACTTCGAAGTTATCGGTTTCTTTAGAGATCATAATTTATGGCTTCGGCAGCCTAGCAGTTAGTCTTGGTCTATTCAATATCAAACATCCAACCTACCATATCGGAATTAATCAAACAACCTGCTTTTCCTGAATATTGAAATATATTGCTTTGAAAATCACACCATATTGGGAATTTAATTAAGCCTACACATCATCAACAGCAATAGCCCGCCGCCACTGGAGCGAATCAAACTAAGCCGGACGCCGCCATAGAATGAGATTATTTTGATCTATAATTTATTGCTCGGTATTTTTGGAGGCCAGAAAATGTAAGAGGTATATGAAACTTGGATCGCTCATTTTTGTAGGTAGTTTTCGATGCTTAACTCACTTCAGAAACCGCTATATACTCGACAGTTACATTTACAAGGGTGAAAACTATTGGAAAATGGATGCTTCAACAAAATCATCTGTTTATCAAACATATAAAAGTAGCGGTTCATGCGAAGACTGTGATGAAAGACTAGCGACATCAAATCTATATTATATACAAGTGACAATGCAACACTCAGAATTATTTATTGAATATTGATAAAAACTTGTAAACATATTTGCTATCATTGAAGAATACGTTGCTAAAATGTTGAAGGCACTGCGAGCCGTACTTTTTTGTAAAGGCCTCTTTTGCCATACCAAGGTCCGAACAATATGAACACGTTTACTCAATGTTCAGTGATGTTTGTGTTGGTTCCACTTGTTTCATTGTTATTTCATTGCATTATCGTGCCTAGAGTTCGCAGGCGCGCTAATTTCACTCAACTTTCCGAGTTGGATAGGGGTCGGATAATCGATTCACGTGATGCCGGATTTTGTTTTAAATAAATCTCGAATCGGGTGAACCGAAACGAAGCTACTGTAATGAGATGTTCTCAAGCATGGTTCCAAGAAGGCCAAAATGGACAAGTTTGAAGTAATTAACCTCAAAGACAGAGCGACGGGATCGTTATTTGAGGCAACTAGAGGACAGTGTTACTTGATCAAAAATGAAGCCAATTGCAGGATTCATGGCATTATAAATCGAAAAATAAAAATTGATATTAAAAAGAGTTTATTTGCCAGATATTGTCAAGTAGCGTTGTTGAGTTCAGAATGTCATTCTCGTTAGAAATAAGTAAAAATATATAGGGTGTCCCATTTAAAAATCGAAAGTTGGTGTCGTCTCCAGTCAAACCGGAAGTACGCCAAAGCAAGTGTAAAATGTAAATTCATCTGTCATACGCAACCCCCAAATTTCGTTCTTCTATCTTCAATAATAAAAAAGTTATAGGAGTGAGCCACCTTGGAGAATCACCCGGTATACGGTTGTCCAAGATAAGGATCCTTATCCTATGCATATGGATCTCGATACCTGTCGGAGATACAGCTTGGGTTAAATTAGGAAAAAGCCGCGTTATTTGGGGCGTATTTACGTGCCGTTGAGAAACTTGTAAAAATATCGTGGCCTACTGAGATATATGGGAGAAACTAAAATTTCATCAAGACATTTTTTTATTTTTTCCTACTTTATTTCAAGGGATATCAAAAAAATAATGGAACTTATCCATTGGCACTTTTTAGGTATTACATGACGGTGATTTCAACTTTTGTGCCTGTCATTTCGTTTTTGAGAATCCATCATCCACTTAATTTTTTTATATGGTTCGAAAAAGGTACACCCTGTATCTAATAGCTTTTTGTCTGGTTTTGTATTCTTTTCAATTAGGTATT